ACACAGGTGCAACTGCATGCATGCACACACACATGCACATGAACACATGCACACACACACAGGTGCACCTGCATGCATGCACACACACACACATGCACACACACAGGTGCACCTGCATGCATGCACACACACACATGCACACACACATGCACACACACACACACACACTCACAGTCTATCTGCCCATTCTCAGGTGTACGCTATACCTGCTCATTCATGTATTCTAGTCTTTACTCCATTATCTTTAGACAATAGACTTTAACCTCCCAGAGGGCAGGGCTCTGAGTGATTCTTATCCCCAACTCTAAGCCTCCGGAATGTGCTGGAATGTGGAGAGCGTGTGATAAGCATGAGCTGAAGGAATGGTCACGTGGTGCAGAACTCACCTCAGACTTGGTGACTGACATCTCCAGGGGTCTGTTGTTGACGGTGACTGACTCCAGTGCGGAGGACATCCGGTGGCAGAGGTGCTTATTCTGGATGGCAAACCTCAGCTCTTCCTTGACAAAGGGTGTCAGGTTAGCAAAATCCTCAAACACCAGTGACCCAGGAGGTGAGAGGCAGGGGACGATGGCGGTCGCACTGACCTCTGAGGCAGAGACCGGGCCTGGATGTTGAAGCATCATTTTGCTGAAAGAAAAAAGCACAAACTTCTTCAGGGGTCCTGGGGCACTGGGTCCAACCACGCCCAAGTACAGCCAACCTCAGAACCAAGTCCCATCAGCCTGAGGCTTCTGGTTTATTCTCATTTCATGCCCATCCCTTGCCCATGGCTGGAGAAATTATGGGAAGTAAAGGAGAACATATTGTTTTGCTAAGTAGACGTGTTGTCAAACTGCCTCCTGAATATTTATGCTCTGACATAGGTTGGTACCCTCAGCCTTGGCCGGTTTCGTTTTGCCACAAGCAGCAGTTAATGTGGAGATTCTTAACTGGACAAGGTGCCGAGAAAAAGTGACTGCTCAGGGTCCCATCCTAAACAGCCATTCATAGCTCAGGGAGCAACATCGGGGCGTTTGGCAAATCTCTAACATTTAAGGAAAAAAAAATCTATCTACCTTGTCCCCCTTGAGCCTGTGAGTTTTATGACCAGTATTGTAAAAACTAGTCCCATTTTAGACATGAGTTAAGTGAGATTTAGACAAATCACATTATCATGGGGTAGTATGGGGCACTGGGATTTGTTTTGCATGGTTTCAGAACTCACAGCCTTAATCTGTACACTGCAAACCCAAATATACTTTCTTGAACAAAACAAACAGACAAAAATTAATAAATAAATAAATAACAGGCAGGGCAGTGGTGGCACATGCCTTTAATCCCAGTACTTGGGAGGCAGAGACAGGCAGATTTCTGAGTTCGAGGCCAGCCTGGTCTATAGAGTGAGTTCCAGGACAGCCAGAACTACACAGAGAAACCCTGTCTCAAAAAACCAAAAAAAAAAAAAAAAAAAAAAAAAT